GTTTCCCACATGAAGTGTAAAACACTGTAAAACAGGTATCACCTGTGGCATGCTTTTCCCAAAGTGACTTTTGTGAGGGCCTTGGCCCAAACTCTTAAATAAGAACATGTATGGAATTACCAACAACCCCCTCGGAAATGGGATAGATAAAAGAGGACTCCAGAACAGCAGACTCTCTTCCAACATCCTTGGAAGAGACATTTTGAACCTGAGTTAATCAGTTCCTGCTGGGTTTCACTCCCAACTCCCAACCAAACATGAAATGCAGCATAAAATAGAAGTACAGGGAAAAGGTGGGGAAGACTCCCTAATTCCTTAAAGGAGCACTTTGCCATCTGCTGCTTTTTGATCTCCCCCACTGCCCTGAAGTGTTTTAAGTCTTTCACCTAATCTTTCTTCATATCTTCTCCCTAGCTTGTCTCTGTCCAGCCTCTGCCCTCTCCATTCCACTTGCCTGCAGCAAGGCAGAACTAAGTAGCTGACCATTTAAAAAAGTTAATACAAAGAGCAGCTTTGCCGTGAGAGGGATGGTGTTGTGTTCTAGCTTGGCACATTGGTAGGTAGCTACATGTCTGCAAGAAGTCTCCTTCCCACAAGCCCCTTCCAGCACAGGTTGTGAAAGGAGGCCACCACTGCAGCAGTTATCAAAGAGTTATCCCAGCAGATGTCAGCACTGGGACCAAAGTGGGCACCTTCACCTCTCCCAGCCACAAAGTCCTCAGCTGTCTAAAAGGAGAACCTCTTAGGTCTCTGTATGGTTATTTCTGGTACTAGGAATTAGTTGGCCAAAGAGGTTCTTTCATACTACTCAAAAGGGCAGTTCAAAAGCAGCACCAAGTTTCTACAGGGAGAATCTTCATTAGCAAAGCATCTAAAGAAGCACAACTTCTAAACACCATTTTTTTCTGTATTTTTCAGAGTCTCTCAGGTTCCTCTTTTTGCTTCTTAAACTAAGAATGGATATGACAGCAAAAGGTCAGAAGACATGACCTAAAAAAATACATAAGCCAGCAAAGGTCCTAAAATATTAAACATATTTCATTAGAGTGCGGGCTGAAAAAATCAAACCACAAAAAGATGCCTATTACTTTTCTTATTTTGAAGCTGCTTCTCTGGGGTTGCTAGACACACAAAATTCTGCTGGTAGCAAAAAATAATTGCATCCAAACTATATCACATGAATGAGGAGGAAAAAAGCCAGAAAACAGGTACCCAGATACTATAAAATCCAGGCAAAACCAACAAATACTATCATAAACATTAAGAAACGTAATATTTTTTTAATTTCCGCCCCCCCTGCAGGGTACTTTTTAACAGCTTTAAACCTCTAGTTCTCTGTGATCAAAAAGGGGTACAACAAAAGTATAGAAGCCAAAACCCAAAATATTTCATAGGGTCCTCATGTAGGTCCTGTCTTGCCACATGTATTTCCTAAGTATCTTCCATTTCAGCTAAAATTTTGAAAATTTCTCCATGGAAAAAATAGCCTAAATACATCTAGAAGGAAATTCCTGTTGTCTCTTTCATCACTGGAGATGTCTAATGATTACAAGAGTCCTTCTGACTCAGCTTCTCAAAGTGGTTGAGAACATGGAAAGCAAATACAAAATTATCTCTGTCTCTAAATTGCTAAGTATGAAGGAGAGGAAGGATAAATTATGAAAGTAATGTCCAGAAAAAAAAGCTTGCGATTTACTATGTTCTCTTTTTCTGCCATATAAACTTATCTGCATTTTTTTTAATTTTTATTTTTTTTTCCCCTAAGGACTTAAACAGACCAACACATAATAAATCAGTTTTAGGCTTTCTCTTTTACTACCTAGACATAGCATGCTCTAAAATAACCACCCACAAAAAAACAAGCCAAACAAAAAAAAAAAAGCCAAAAAACCCACCAAACCAATCAACCCCAACAAACCAAATAACCAAACACCAAAAACCCCACAAGACAAAAAAGCCCTCAAAACCAACATCCTCCAAGCCCCAAAACAGAGGAGCACCTCAATACAAACATGCAGTGGAACATACATTATTAATCTTTTTGGTTTTCTGGCCCCAAAGTCCCACAACACTTAATGAGTTGGCAGTGACTCTTACAGAATAGAAATGAGTTTGTGAGTGTGAATCAGTAAGGATACCTCATCTCAGCAACAAATCAACCCCAGCTGAAGATGCCACATTTCCATTAGCTGACAAAGTGAAGCTACTGAAGTTTTGCCCATGTGCCTGTGTTTTGCTTTTTTAAAATGCTCTTAAACATTGCAACTAACATTGCCAGTGCGTATTCATTTGATGAAGTGGTCATGGAGCTTGAGAATGAGGAGTTACATCACTTCATTCATTTGCTCTTGTCTCCTGGGAGCGTGTGCATCTAATAGGACAAAATACGTTTGGAGCATAATGCACTTCTGAGATTCTCAATTACAGCAGGTTGTGAAGACTTTTTAGTGGAAGTGTAAATCAGGTTGGCACGAAGACAACTGGGTTTATTAAGCCGTGAGTTTCAGGAAATCAGCCAGCCCACTTCTCTGAGAACAGCACTTTTAACTAAGAACATATCATAATTCAGAACACATGAGCAATTCTGAGAAATGCAACGAAGTTTTGTCTGAAACACATTTAAAGGCAGCAAACCCCAGTGGACACCTCCAGAAAGTTTTAAACTACAAAGCATTGCTCAAAGAAAAGGATTCAGCTTCATGGAAAAGAGAAGAGCAAATTGGAATGCAAATAATCCAGGCATTGAGACCACTGTTAATGAAAAGAAGCCAGGCACAACAGACTCTGGTTTGAATACAGTTTCTGTGTTTTTCTACTAACTGTAAGCATGATGGGCCAGCCTTGGGTAGAAGCTGCTTTTCATTCTTTGTTACCATCTTAAGCTTGGACAATGAAAAACAGGGCAGATGGAAAAATACTTTTGTGAAGTCCATTAAAAACTCACCTGACATCATACCTGACATTTTGAGGCATCCATTGATGCATATTTGACCTCATAGTTAATAGAAATTATATACCTACCAGGTTTTACATAACTATCAGAGTACCTACTTGTCTTTTCAGAAAATTTCTGACCTTTAGAATTTATTGTAGATTACCCTGTTAAGAAGAGCAAAATAAAGAATGCTTACTTTCAGCAGCCCTCTGCTGATAGCAGGTCCACTAAGGATACATCCACTTGTCATCTATTTTTCTCTTCCGTAGAATAATGTGGAATAATCTTCCTAAAAGCACTGCAAAAACATTGAAGACTTGCAAAAATAATTACGTCAATACCCCATTTCACATTTATGAAACTGAGCTACCATTTTTTCCACTGGTACAACTCTCCTAACTGAACAAGTCTAAACAGAGTAAGTGACCCTTTGAAAAACTAATAAAAATGCCACTTGATATTTTTCACTTATTTGATCAGACACATTAACAAGCAGTTTCCTGTAAAACCACCTGAAGTCGCCCTTCTCAGAATCACCAGTTCCAAGAACACTAATTACAGAATCTTTCCAGCAAAATTCCAGCAGGAGCTGGGAGTAAGAAAATTGTAATGAGACACCTCAGAATTCTTGCTTAGAACAAGCATTGACAGTATTGCCTTTTCTCTGTAAATCAAGACATACAAACTTTTGCAGCCCCAAAAGAACCCCTCAAAATCCCACACCTGAGGATATAAAGTAGAAACTACAATTCTAGTTACACTTGAGGACAGGGTACAGACAATCACACCATAGTAACACAAAGTGCTGTATCCAGAATAAACCAGTCAGCCACACAGGGACCAAAGACCCTCATGTCAGCACTGCCCTTAATTTCTTATGAAACACAAATTCTGTCTCAGAGGAAGGTTTAGTTAGACTACAAACTCAAAACCAGGCAGATAAGCACAGAGGAAAGAAATATGTTTTTATTGCATATGCTAAGGAATGCAGTTCAACATACAGTTAATTTAGATGACAGGCATATTGAAACTAAAGGCTTTCTCTGTATGTAATTAATAATAATATATTTTTTATTTCTTAACACAAATAATTTTACAGAATTAACAACATACATTATAATGAAGAGTGTATCTGGCTGAATATTTGAAATAGCAAGGAATATTTCCATTCATGATTTAGTTTTTGTTGTGAGAGAGGCTTTTTTTTTGTTTTGTTTTTTATTTGCAAAGTAGATAGGAAATGCTGTATATCAATTTGAAGAAGGCTATCATTGCTAAGGTTTAGTTAAAAAAAATCATAACAACAGAAAATACGGAAGCCAGACACTTAAATATAAATTATATGTTTTGAAAACCACTTAACAGAAGAAAGGAAGGAGAAAGTGCATTATATATGTGTGCTTATTAAAACCTCAGTGATTCAATGTTCAGCTTCAGATGCCTGATGAAAAAATCAGATCAGTCAAAATGGTCCATGTGGTAGTTCAAAGGCTAATTGGTGTGAACATCTTTGTGCTTTCAGTACTGCAGACATCCTCACAATTGGAAAAGGATTACTTGCTCTCTTTGCAGGCTAAGTACCAGCATAAGAACCAAGAAATGAGACAAAGAATGTTATAAGAATAAACGTGTGGGGTTTTTTATAAGAAGAAAACTCTGAAGAAAAGCTACAATTAATCTTTATACAAATCTAAATGCAAAGCTTTTCACAATGCATCATAAAACTAAATTATGTCTTGCATCTATTCTTACATTTTAGTTTGTAATTCCCTCTTATTTTAAAATAGGCCACTTGATTCTAGTATCAAATAAATTATGCGTCTTTATTATTTCCAAATAAAATGAATTAACAGCATTTATATTTATATTGTAAAAAGTGGTTAGCATGGTTCAACAGACACTAAGACAACTGCCATGTATTATTCTGAAAGCATCTAAAATTTTCAGTCCCTGAAATTAGTTTAAGACACTAACAATCAAGTGATGCCCATCAAGACTAAATCTGCCCTTATTTGGCTCCCTCCTTGTTTAGAAAATGTCTCTTCTTTTTTTGTTTCCTTCCACTCTAAATTCCCCAAGGATTCCTTAAGATATTAACAAAATCATCATCATCCATGATTCCAATACTTAATCCTTCATAGTAATCTTCAAACTCAGAATAGGACACTTCATTGGGATTGCTGCAGGACTCTCCTAGTGTTTCTAGAAAGGATGATTTAATTTCTTCTTCTGTAGCTTTGCCTGTGAAAGTATATTTTTTCCATTAAATACATCTACAAGAACAGTGAATATATGGTATTTTATATATTTCAGGCAAGAAACTTCTAAATTTTAGCTTGAAAATATTTTTTCTTGAACAAATTCAATGTTCTAAGTTCAAAATGAAGTCATTGGCTCACTTAATACCAGCTACAGGAATCATTCTACTTTAATAGCACACAATAACATTAAATATCAACAGAAGTATGAAGCCATAGTCAATTTCAACAACTATGAGATCACAAACATTTTTTTAGTTCAAATGACTGCAAAAACTGAATATACATTAGTAAACCAAAATTTTGCTCATTCAGAAGTTACCTTGTAATAAAGTGTATGTTTAACATAATACAAGTTCAAAGTTCTAGGAAAACCTTAAGACGCAAGTTTGCATTCAAAAAATGCTCTGCAATTCACAGGTTTGTTTTAGTGACTTAATAAAGTTTATACTAAATATTATTTCATAGCATTCAGAAATAAATATTGAAAAAATATACCATTGTAGCACTGGAAAAAATTGCATGTGTAACAACATCTCTGTACCATCATGTATCTTTATGTGTTACCATTAAAATCACTGGGAATATAAAAGTCATCCTATAGTTCACAGGTGAAACAGAAAGGATCAGAACACTAGGGAGACTTTCCTAATGACCAGTTTGGTACATGGAAATGTCAGTTTAGAAACTGACATACACATATTCAAACTTTTATTACTTTTCCAACAGCAGAGTTGAAACATTTTTGAGAATCCTGAAAAAAATAATGAAGATGCCAACAGTTCCCCTGTACAGGTTGACAATCCTGTCCCAGAAATAAATGGATAATTTATTCATAAGGAACTTCAAGTGTTGAGTACATTCAGTCTCAGCCAGTAACCTTGCATATTTTGATGGCAAACAGTAATAGGAAAATGAGTATCCTCCTCAGTGAAAATTACTATTATCATACGTGTCACTGATAACTTGCACACCAAAGCTGAGAACTAACTACTTAAATGTAGTGCAACACAGGCAGGAAAAACAACTACTCTGCATATATGAAGTATTTCTAGCTTGATAAAATGCAAGTATTAAAATTGTGCATATGAACTCCATTACTATTTATAGTCATGTTCCAGATAGACACACCATAGGTCATCAGGGGAAAAAAAGTTCTCTGCAACAGCTCAAGTCTAAGCCAATATGAAAATAGTTTCCATTTGTAACTAGTTTCTGGATCTGGCATCTCTGCTAATAAGATTACTTCAATAGTTACAGATTTATTTATATTTTTATTCATGTGAATTACCTGCCAATACTAGAGGATGTTTCTTTGCACAGTAACATTTCCTGATATCTACCATAGGCACACTCCCAGTTTTGTTGAAATCTAGTTTCATATAAGCCTAAAAACAGAAAAAAAAAATATAAACATATATGGAGAAAAAAAACACAAACAGTGGAAAGATGTAAAGATTAAATATCCTTAACTACCTAGCATGTATTTTTAGATCTTGTGCAATGGATTATGTCAGTTTACCTATTTTATGTAAGGCACCAGATACTAGAAAATTATTCTAGACTATGGAATTTCATTATTATTTTATCTCAACAGCTTCCGCATCAAATGCGGTCCCTTCACCAACTCAAAAAAATGTTGAGTCTCCTCTCTAAAAATTCTAGCTCATCCTTAGAATTAGAAGTTAAGCTGCTTTCCTTCTGCCTCCTCCAATAACTAAGATTCCTGTGTCACTCTGACAGGCCTCAACACAGCCTCTTCAGCACTGCTAATAGCAGCTTCATTTCCATTTCAGCTTACTGAAATACACACACTTGATATGTAAGGCTAGAAGAGTCAGATCCTCCAGGATTAAAAGTATGAAATTATGTGCAATTTTTCTTGATCTAGGTATCCAGTCACTACTCTATTGGTTGTTTTTTAATCAATGTTTCATACTGCAAACAGCTCCACATTACGTTACATACAACTAAAGGCATTTGAAATACAGGAAGTCTCATAAATGTAAGGCAGGTCTCAAAGGAGGCAAGTATTACTGCCTGTATTTCAGACACTGAGGTAAAAAAAAAATCTGCCAATAGGTAGAGTGATATATCAAAACAAGGAATCAGATTTCTGAAAGAGATAGTTTAAGGGTGCTAGGTACTTTATATACTGGATTGAATGGTAAGAATAGCACTCACGTGCAAGAATTCAAAATAATAAAGGAATTAATTGTAGACTTCAAAATCAACTAATTCAACAACAGAGCAGCAAACAGTCTTCTATTTTATATTTACTTCAACAAACTGATCTGAAAGTTTAAAAAGTCAATTATTAGCTGCACAATTCAAGGAAAACAAAACCAAACCAAACCAACACAAAACAAATAGTAAAATAACAACAACCAGAACACAGAATCATGCGACGGTTTGGGTTGGAAGGGACCTTAAAGATCACCTAGTTCCAAACCACCTGCACGGGCAGGGGCACCTCCTGCTAGACCAGATTACTCAAAGCTCCATCCAACCTGGCCTGGAACACTTCCAAGGAGAAGGCATCTACGACTGCCCTGGGCAACCTGTTCCCATCTCTCACCACCCTCATAGCGAAGAATTTCTTCCTAATGTCTAACATAAATCTACTCTCAGTTTAAAGCCATTAACTCTTAAACATGACAGATACCTAAGTTCAAATTTAGACTGCAAAATATCTACAGCTAGAATATCTGCAACAAAACTTACTTTTCTTACAAATGTTTTCCGATATTCATTCATTTCTCCAAATACAGCACGAGTAAATTCTCCATAGTCGACCTTATCACTCTTGCTATCGTCAAGAATATGCCACAAAGATTCAAAGTCCTGCAATTTAAAAATATTTTGTTCTTCACTATGTCTTAGAATGAAGCACTTGCTATAATAGGAAATTACAGTATTCTCACAAAAAAACCCACAAAACCAAACAAGCTCCAAATAAAAAATTACTCCGAGATTCATCAAAATAATGTGAACTCATCATTAGTCACTGATGACAATAGTTCACATCATTTGCAGTTTTGATACCTGTGGGCTGTTTTTGAAACATAATATAAAAGAACCAAGAAAAAAAGATAAATCAATAGCATCATATACATTATTTTTAACAACTAAAAAAAAAAAAAGAAAAAACATTACTGCAATCCCACTTGCTTCTTCATGAGGCAAAAAGATTTTAAAATTTATTATTATTTTTTCTTACTTTTAAGAATTTCACATAGGACTGAATGTAGAAATGCCAATATATCACAAGGAGGAAAAAAGCTTGCAAAAAATAGCTATTAAACTCCAGATTTAAGCAAAGAAAATAAGAGCTTTCATAAATTAAAGTAAGATAATAGCCATAATTACAGTTTCAGCTAGACTTACACCCTCAGGTATTTTCAAATGGAATATTTTGAGAGCTTCTTTAAAGTCTGCCTGGGAGAGAAAACCACTTCTGTTCTTGTCTATGTGTCGGAAATACTTTCCTAAGCCGGTTATAACCCGAACTCCTCTTTTACTTAGTGACGCTCTGAGTATACCTGAAAATTTAGAGAAATAAAAGGCACAATGTTTACCTGAAGTTGGCCACATGCTATGGAGTTGATATAAAAGTAAACTACAACCACTTATGATACTACTGGTTAAAATAAGACATCCACACATCCATACTCCTTTATCTTTAATGAGTTGTCGTGGTTCCTTGTCTCTCTCCTGCCTGGCTTGCCAATAAATGTCATGGTTTGGGCCCAACATGACAACAAAAGGAACAGCACCCTGGCCGCTCACTCAACTTCCCTCCCCCCCCTCACACACACCCTGGGATGAGGAGGACAAAGCTCCTGGGTGGAGACAAAGGACAAGGGGGGTTCTTCACCGATCAAGGTCCTGGGCAAAACAGACTCAACTTCAGGAAAAAATAATAATTTAATTTCACACTAATCAAACACACACAGGACACAGACAACACATAGACCAGGGCTTGCATATGTTCCCCCACCCCTCCCTCCTTCCTGGGCCCAAATCACTTTGTTCCCGGTTTCTCTCCCTCCTTCCCCCCAGTGGCACAGGGGGACAGGGGATGGGGTTTAGAGTCACTTCACAGGCTGGTAGTTCTTGCCGCCCCATCCTCCTCAGGAAGAAGAATTCCTCACAGTCCTTTCCTGCTTCCCTATGGGGTCTCTCCCACGGGAGAGAGTCCTTCACGAACCTCTCCTTCATGAGTCCTTCCCACGAGGTCCGGAGCTGCTCCAGCCTGGGCTTCACACAGAGTCACCGGCTGCTTTGGGAACAAACTCCCCTGGTGCCAGGGTCTTCCAAAGCTGGATAATCAGAGTCCACAGGCAGCAAATCCACTGGCCACAAAATGCAAGTCCACTGGCCAAGCTCACCCCTCCTGACGCCTTCAGGGAATGTTCCCCCACGTTCCTCCACAAGTGCAGGGGCACAGCTACCATCTCGCCAAGGGTTGCAGGGAAACTTCTGCTTGGGCACCTTCTTCCCCTTCTTCCTCACCAACCACCAGCACTGCTCTCCTTCCCCAGCACAGCTCTTCTCCTCCAGCACAGCTGATCTCCTCCAGTACAGCTCTTTTACCCCCAAGTCCTTCTTTACTCAGGTGTTGTATCAGTTCTTTTGCATGTTAATCGCTGAGGCGCATCTATTGTCCCTCTAATGGCTCCCTGGCTGGGTTTGGAGCAGGGGGAGCTTCTCAGCTTCTTACTGGAGCCCCTCCTGTGGCCCTTCCTCCGCTACCAAAAAACCCACCAAACCAGAACATGAGTGAATGTCACTTCAAAATGGAACTACTAGTTACTTAACATGTGAGTATTATTCTTATAAAGCAGCAGCCAACATCTAAAAAAAATGTTAAAGAGATCACAGAAGGAAAGGAAGAATGGATATCACCCTTCATGTGCTCAGATTATAAAACTGTACTTCTGCTAGAAGCGATAACATACCATGATTCAACATACAAAGCAATGTAGGAGCACTACTGTGGTAATACAAACATTATATTATAGGACACACAGTTCCTCCTTCATTGTACAAACATATTAAATACAATTGGGAACAAGAACAAATAAATGTAAGTAATGCTGCAAAATCGTTCCAAAAGATAGAGAATGATTTCTATGGCAAAAATTACAGCCTTATCAAAATCTCTAGGTAGCAGGTTTACTTTGGAGTTGTCTGAGTTTCTCAGCCTACTCTGTGAACAGAAATGATCTGCTATTATTGTATCTTCGGATTACTTGTATATACAATTACACAACAAATAGGGAACAACAGTGAAATACAAAAGTTTTTTCCATTAAAGTTAAAATTCAGACACGTGCTTAAAGTTGTCTTGAAGTATATACACATAGCTTTCTTCAAAGCCACACCAGCAAACCTTAGATGTAGTCAGACAATAGAGCAATGAATTTTTGAGTCTATTATGCTATGGAAAACATGGAATAGCTAGAAGATTTTAAAACATTCCACATTTTTTATTCTAACAGTTTTTATAAATGTCCAAGCAGATTTTAGTGACCAGAGTGCCTACTAAAACAGGTTAAGCTAATGAGAGTAAACAATGGAGGTTTGACAAGCTGGAAGCTGTTGAGTTCAATGTTTTTTGCTGACCACAGGTTACAAATAGAACACACAGCACTGCATAAACATCTTTCCATAATTTTAAACATAAAGCTATGCCTTTGTCCTAAAGACCGTAGGCAGGAACATGGTAAAATTTTATTACTTATTCCAGAATGGACGACTCAATTGCACTCACATATGTTAATAAACATAATATTAAAGACTATCAAAAAACAGCTGTGAATAATGGCCCAAAGAATCTAGCACAAAATTAACTGAAGAAATGAGATTGTCTTTGTACATTTTGCCAATAACTCTTTTTAATTTAATGCCAGTTTAACACAGGATCAGTGTTATGCTTCAGCATTTTTTTCAGAGATTACGTCAACACAAGGATTAACATTTCAATTGCATTCATAATTATTCTGTACTGTCTCCATGATCTTTAGCCAGCCTGTGTATTTAAAGAAAGTGAAAGCAGAAAGTATTCTTAGTAATGATTTATTCTGGTATCAGATTCTAATAAATATTCTGATAAATATATTTTGTTTAATTTCATTATAATATTACTATTGGTCTTTGCATTGAGCTGTAAAGACAGAAATACAGAAATTAAAAATGAATACCTTCTGGTAGACACAAACCTTGAATTTTCCTGAAAACTTCACATTCATCAACCACTTGCTTAGAAGGCTCTTGCTTGAATTCCACAGAAGTTCTAAAATAAGAAAAAATCATCTTGGTAAAATGACATGTAATATAACTGACTTCAAAACAGCTGTAGTAAATTTAAAAAATTGAAGATTATATTTGATTCTTATACTACCCTTATAAGCATGGAATCCAATTCCTAGAGTTTGAAATGGCACACAAAAATCTTTGCTGAGCACCTGCAAACATGCAGAAACTCCTTTCTGAGAACATTCCATTAGCAGCTCCTCTACTAATTCATGAATCACGGATAATTCCTCCTGTGCATAAAATCTCCAGAAATTTATTTCAAGACAGTCCTAATCTTCAGGTTCAGCCACTGGAAGACTTTGTAAGCAACTCCATTTAGTTATCAATAGGAAAATAACATGAACTAGCTAACAATCTCTCCTCAGAGCAGAATTGGCAAGGGTGTAGACCAAAATGTGCATCAGCATATCTTAGGTATGATGTAAGAATTATGGTTAAATTCTGTGTTTTGTCTGACAAGTGTTTCCCTCTGAGAAGGGCATCCCAGAAACCCCCATCAGAAATTATTACAAAGGTTGATAAAAAATACTGTGGAATAACCTATTGGGGAAAAATATAAGTCAAATAATCATTTTAGTCAGACTAGGAAGGCAAACGCAAAAGAGCTACTGTCAGCTTTGAGCTACTTGCTCACCAGTACTTTGCCAGGGGGTACTCCTCCTTATGCTTTCTGAGGCCAAAGACTTACCTCTCGCTGACTATTAAGAATTTTCATCTCCACTTAGGGTACCTCCCATTATGAAGTCCCTAAAAGCTTATCTATATCAAACCACCTAAACTGAAAAGTCAGCAACCACATACAGAGGACAGTTTACTCTCCCTAAAACACATGTAAACCAAAAAAGATTCAAAAGATTTGTGGCTTGTGGCAGCAGGGCATAGCTGCTCCTCACAACATGAAGAGTTTGTGGCCTGGACCTGAGCAGGATTCTCCATGAGTGCAGTAATGGGGTAAGAAGACTCAATTCAAGAGTTTTGCAACAGAGAATACAGAGTTCAACAACATTCCCATTCAGAAGAAAAAGACTTCACAATCTGAAATTTAGTCACTAATGGAATAAACACAGAGAGAGTATAAAAAGGAAACAATTTGTTCCACCACAGGTAGCAGAAAATTCAAAATTGTAACTCAGTGAGCTTGTCTTCATTCTGGAGCCTTCAGATATAACACTGGATCAACTCCAAATTTCACAGGTATAAGATTAGCAACAAATGAAAGAAAAAGCTGTTTACCAGAATGATAGACTTCTGGGATGTAAAATGTCTTACATAAACTATCAGAAATGAAACTACATTGTATTTTATTTCATGGAAATGTTGCAGAGAGGGAACAATTAGCACTAATCATCATACAACTCTGTATTTCATTAACCAATTACATTTGAATTTATTGATTTATGTACTGTTAGCTCACTATGACTCCTTTGCAAAGCTTTCAGTGTAAAGGGACCTTAAAGTGAACACAACCATAACTGAGAACAAGCTTCATGTGTCTAAGCACTTGGAGAAAGAAAAACAATAGTCAGTTAAGTTGTTCTAACAAAAGTAGTCTTTTTATAGTGAATGTATTTCATTGAGATTCTGTTATTACTGTTCTTAGTCGAGAAGGGATTGAAACATCTGATACAAGAGGAGAGGGTGGAAGAGCTGGGATTGTTTAGCCTGGAGAAGAGAAAACCCGGGAGAACCTTGTCAGTGTGTATAAATCATAGAATGATTTGGGTTGGAAGGGACCTTAAAGATCACCTAGTTCCAACCTCCCTGCATGGGCAGGGACACCTCCCACTAGACCAGATTACTTAAAGCCCCATCCAGCCTAGTCTTGAACACTTCCAAGGAGGAGGCACCCACAACTACCCTGGGCAACGTGTACCCATGTCTCACCACCCTCATAGTGAAGAATTTCTTCCTAATTTTTAACCTAAATCTACCCCCTTCCAGTTTAAAGTAATTTCCCCTCATCCTATCACAAGATGCCCTTGTAAAAGTCCCTCCGCAGCTTTCCTGTAGGCCCCTTCAAATACTGGAAGGCTGCTATGAGGTCCCCCTGGAGCCTTCTCTTCTCCAGGCCGAACAACTCCAACTCTCTCAGCTTGTCTTCATAGGAGAGGTGCTCCAGCCGTCAGATGATATTTGTGGCCCTCCTCTGGACTTGCTCCAACAGCACCATGTCCTTCTTATGTTGGGGGCTCCAGAACTCAACACCATACTCTATGTGGGGTCTCATGAGAGCAGAGGGGAAGAATCACCTCCCTCAACCTGCTGGCAACACTTTTTTTTATGCTGCCTGACACATACTTGACAGGAAGGAGTAAAGAAGATTGAGACAGGCTCTGCTTGGTGCAGCCAATGACAGGCCAGCAGGCAATGGGCACAAACTGAAACACAGGAAGTTCCCTCTGAAAATCAGAAAACACTTTTGTATTGTGAGGGTGACTCAACACTGGAAAACGCTGCCCACAGAGTTTCCAGAGTCTCCATCCTTGCAGATAATTAAAAATCCAACTGGATGTAGCCATGAGCTGCAGTAAAACCTGCTCTGAGTAAGAGGGATGGACTAGAGACCCTCTTGAGGTGCCTTCTATGATGACATGACTTTATGTAAATGTGTACCTTGTAGCATCTGCTGTTGGCTAACACTCCTGACCAAACTTTGAGTAGTCAAGTTCTGGCTGTATGACCAACACTGTTTAGTAACTTCCATGTTCAGGCAACACAACAGTGCAATAAATGTTATATCAAGATTTGACTAGTACTAAGAACCAGCATACTCACAATAAAAGCCAGTAACCTCACAGAAAGATGATTCATTTCCTAGGCAGTTTACTTCTGCACAGATATTAAGATGAGAAGATTGGCTACAAAAACAACACATACTCAAAGGCTAACCATCTGAAAAAGTTCTAAGAAATTCCCATCTTCCAATCCTTCCCCTGTCTATGTTCAAACACACCTACACTACTATGACTGATACCAAGTTTTAATCTAAGCTTCACAAAAGTTTCAATGATAATGTTAACCACAAAAAAATCCCATTTTTTTCCCCAAATGTATTTTAGTTCATCACTTTAAAAAAGTTTCAGCATGACTTGTAGATAAGAAATCTGACTTGAAACAAAGCAAAAGATAGTTTGATAATTAATTCTTATTTTAAAACTATTCCTTATCCCTCTGGAAAGTTACTGATTTATAGTAATAGTTGTTAGTGGATGTTCTAATTTCTCCTAACAACAGCTTAAATACAGATTTTAATTTTCTTAAGCAATGTAAGGAATAGGATGTTAGAAGCTCTTACTAAAAAATCTTTTTCAATTAAGGAAGGGAAGATAAGTTGAAAAACAGCTGCACTTACTTCAGAAAATCCATAGCTGCTTCATCAATAGTAATCACACGAAGGGTAAGAATTGGGTTCTCCTTAACACTTTCTGGAAGGCTATGATCAACACTTCGGAAAGTTAGGTTAGCTCCCTGTTGGTAAAGCATTCAATGATTTACAAATAGGTCATGTATTTCATAAAATATGTTCTGCAAGGCTTTCAGGCAGTATGATTGTTTAAAAGCTTTGGCATGAAATGATGAAAAGGTGAAACTAAGGTCAGTTAACCTTTTTAACAGAGCCTTTCTAGTACTAAATGAAAACAGCTGCAGGCTCCAAAATGACACATTATCCTCTACACAGAGGTTTGTCTAGTAAGAGGGGCTACTGTTGCCTAATCTACAGCTGAAGAATATGAGACTATGGATTGTTGTTTCCTCAGCCAAGCTCTGCTTTTCCATTTTTCTTTTCCCTTCAATCTTTATGGGATCTAAAACTCACTGTACTACAGGAAAGAGTCTCAGAAGGTGCCACTTTGATACTATGAGAGCAAAGTTCTCTCAGGCTGGGAGAAACCCCCTTCAATTATTTTCCACAACCTAAAATCACACTTGAAATGAACAAACAACTAAAAAGTAGCCTTTCCAAAGTTCAAATAATTTCTGCAATGTTTAACTATAAAGTTACTCTTTAAATTAATAGATGTCACTAATAAATATTGAATAACATGTATTAGCCAGTATAGTCTCTTATGAGTTTTACAAATTTCCCTTTCCTCCAAGTTGGGGATAGAGGACATATGTTGTGTATGTTCCAAAGTTCACAGAATCATAAAATGTTAGGTGTTGGAAAGGACCTTTGGAGACCATTGAGTCCAACCCCTCTGCCAGAGCAGAACCAAAGTTAAAGATGATTTTTGGTTTGGGAGAAGAGGGAAGGGGAGAGAAAGAAAAGGAGCAAACTAAAAGTAAAGAATTATGAGAATAATAACTAAAAAAAAGCACTGGGTCTAACTGCAATAACCCTGCAGACTTGAGTTATAAAGCCTCCAAAACTCATAAACTAGGAAGGAGACAGAGACACTTTTTGTGCAAATGTCTCGGTCATTTGGACTTCGTGGGAGACATTTTTGCAGATATGGAGATTCACAGGTATGACATCATTCCAAAGAGCTACCGAACATGGTATCAGTACATTTTCTGGATGGCTTTAATATGCATCTTTATTCAGAACACATTTCCATCTGCAGGTTGAAATGATACACATAAGAATTAAAAAAAAAAAACACAAAAAAACCCCAACAAACTAAAAACATAGCTGCAACCTCCATAGCACAGAGAAAGTAATCTGTTTCATCCTGGAAACACTTACATGGTAGTCACATGTAAACAGTTAGGATTAGGCAGTTAATTAGAAAAAACTAAAAACTAATGCTGTCTTCTTTTATTTTCAATATTTTATCCAAACATGCTTTTTGCTCTAAGCTCAGGATTTGAAGAACTCACTGAAAACAACCTGGACTTGAAAAATTGCTCAAATATGTATAAAGCAGAAACATTTAATCCGGTACAGAAGTACAAAAGATGCAATATGATTTGCTGGTAGATGAAGTCTACCATTGCTTCAAAAGGTCTCCCTAAACAGCTAGTGGTAAACATTTTCAAACTTTAGGTTAAGTCAAATTAACCTGTAATTTCATCATGTTAAAAAAAAATACTAAATCATTGTCTCGGGTCAAAAATGGCATCAGACCTTGCAAAAGTTACTAGTTTTTAACAAGTACTTTGCTCTACTTCATCTTCAGGACCCTCCTTCCCGAGCTGATAATTTTGTCTACAAAAACGTCTACAATGTCTGCAGCCTTGTGCCCTCTAGTGGGAAAATTCCAAACTACAGCCTCATCTGAAGACAAAAGTGGACTCTTAAACGTGGGACTGCAAAATAATAACCCAGACTCCTGAAAAACTTTAACTGGAAAAAAACGTTACTGAAGGGAAAGACTTCAGATCTTCACTGAAAGCCAGATCACAGTTTGGACTCGAATATCTAAATAGTACTTCCAAATCACCAACAAAATTGCCTTAACTTCAGCAGAATACTTACAATATAGAAGTCACTAAGATCATAATCTTTTCCCTTCTTTTGTCCACGTTGATGTTGATAAACTCCCTTCTGAATGAAAGGCAAAGCATTTGTTCTGTGAAATAATTCAAAACTGATGTTAAAACGTTTAAGTTTAATTAAGTTTCTTAGATACAGTAGAGATGTTTCAAAAATCTTTTTTTTAAAAGTGACTTATCCTACCTATTTTTTCCAAACTGTCGAAACTCATACACAGTAAGGGATCTGTCACATGCAAAAAAAAATCCAAGCAACTCTCTACAAGCATCATGACCATTTCTAGAAGGAAAATTGAAAAGCATCTTTATGGTTTTGTATCCATATAAATCCCATTCAACCCAAACATAAGTAACATTTATATTCTGGAATATGCATTTTATTTCCAATGTTGTACATTGTGCAATCTTTTTCTTTGAAAGAGGTATCTGTCTGCTTTCTCTAAACAGTCTTTGAATTCAACTCTGGACTTGGACACTTATTTTAATGCAACATTCCATTCTCCATAGAGTTGAAAACACCTTTCAAAGCTTCATCTTTTAGTATACCAATGTAATTTTCACACATCAGCTGAAGGATTACTTACACCAGGATTACTGCATTCATTATTGTACATGAAGCTCTGGTATATGAAGCTCTGTGGCTGAATCCTCAGCTATGTCTAACAAGTATACAGCTCACTGCTTCAGAAAAGCACCACTTACAAATCTGAAGAATACATTTATGTCACTGTTACTCAATTCAGAAGCTTCAAAGATGCCTTAAACCTGCAAGTTTAATATGTAAGGAGCTACAAACGAGACACAAAGCCATTCGTTCCACCCACAATGGTTGCCACGTACTAAGACAAGGCTAAAATAATTTTTAATCAAGGGAGGTGCAATACCTAAGAGGACTGTTTTACACAGCCCCCATGCTAATTGTCCTGCACAGAGCAATGGGTATGATGGTAATGAAATGTTACTCACGCATCCTAAAACTGTACAACAGGACTGGCTGTACAGCCACTACCCATCAGCCGTGTCAGAAGTTGTATTATACATGTATGTATATATATACCCACCCAGCACATACTGTTTACTAAACAGTGCATTAAATATTCCAAGAAGGTAAGGATCATAATTTATAAATTCATGGAACTGAAAAGCTTCACAAACTTTGTGACTACCTGGATATTATCCTACTATCAAAGCGCAGCTTGTTAGAGAGCATGTTCTCAGTTAATCCTGATTTGGTCCTTATTCTGTGAAAATAATGCGGCATGTTAATGATACCTAGATGCTCACAGAGAAATGTTACATAAAAGTCAAGTGTTTTGAAGCAACAAAAAATGTGAAATACAGTATCCTTGGTAACTGGCTGAGGAGATGAGCTCTTTTAGTTGAACTGGAAATCGACTCAGACTTGTAATGCAGAAGGTGCTCTATAATTACACAATATGAGAATACTTTCACAGAAAGCATAGATATGAATGGGACATCTTGTTTACATACACTGATACAAAGAATTAAACCTCTGCTACTCCTCATACTTCCACAAAACAATGAGTTTTCTTGCAGAAGCACCCAGGTAGGGGCTTTTTTACACACCCAGATATTTTTATTGGCCATATTACTAGATCAAGAAATTGAGATTTGTCCATATGCTGGATGTAAGAGATTGAGATTGGTTTTGTTGCCTTTTTTTTAAGAATACTAAGATATTTGTTAAGAAATAATTCAGAGCAGAATGTTAAAATATCCTAAGCAAAGATGTTTGCCTACATGTTTAGAAAGATTAAGAGAACAAAATTTGGACCTGCAGATTAATTTATTTTTATGGATCACAGTGTTCTCTCAGTTTTTCTTAAGCCCTTGGAGTTACTATTTCAATACTCACAGGCCAGGAATGACATTTAAATGCCAATATAGTTAATTATTGCTGCAGAAATCAAAACATGAAATAAAAGTATGATTATATTGTGAAGATCTACAATAGCATTTACAGATGCATATTTATGCAATTTTATACACCTAAGAATAGGAATCTCTAAAAGGATATGACAAAATAGCAAAGCTTTCAACAGCTCAGAAAACGCTGACAAAACCCTGTGATGAACAGTATCACTGTAAGCTTAAGAATGTTCTCCCAGGTTTTACCAATCATACAAATCAATCATTATAGACAGAGAACCCACATAAAAATCCACATAGGCAATCATAAGCATGTGGAGGTTACAAAAAAGGCTTCACATGAAGCTGGTGGATACAAGCCAGAAATAAAACATCTGGAAGGCCAAACAGGCTTCAAAGAGCTCAAAATAATAAAAAATACAGAAGAAAATGTACTTCTAAAAAAATGAGTGCTAGAGAAAACTTACTTTGTTTCATGCAGTGTTCTTTTCCTAAAGCGCATTGGTGCCGTCCCAAGTCCCCAGAGTCCTTCAGCTTCCTTGTGAACATCAGCACGTGTGGACTGCTCTGGGTCACTTATAACAGCTCTGACCAGGAAGAGCATTGAGAAAATCTCTGACTATTATATGTTTGAATTTCAGATCTTACATTTTCTTACTCAGGAAGGAAAACATTCAAGATTAACACAGCAGTAAAATCTTGGTATTTTGCATTAAGCTTGAATAAATTTGTGGGCTTTTCTTGTATTTGTTTTTACAAATTCTGAAGTTTGTTACTCAAAATCAAATATATGCAATAATATTCTGGCACTACTATGTAGTAACTTTACAAGTATATATTTGTATTATATATAAGTATATACAACTTATGTATTTCATATATGTATATATAAAATAAATCTTAGGATTATGAAGGGTTTGGGTTTGGTTTCTTTTCCCCATTTTTCTCCTTTCCACTGATGGAGTATTTAGAGAATTCTGTGACAGCAGTTACTAGTACTGGTCACTAGTACTAGTAGTAGCGACAGCATCCAACAGAAACATTTGCACTTCATCTCCCAAAGCAGTAGCCATACAACCCATAGGATCTCAAAGTACCATCAAGCAGACAAGAAATAGATGAACTGGTTTCTGAACATTTTTATATTCCCTGTATCAGTTTAAAAAGTAAACAACAAGCTCTTTAAAAATACATGAGGTTTTTTTTATGTTAATGAATTGGTTCATAATCAGAAGGAAAAAGTAATTTTGCATGGCTTATACAGTTTTACAAACAGATCCACCTTTGCACACACCAGTTACACTGATTTAACTGCAAGATATGCTCTACACACAAAAAACCCCCAAGCAATCAGAACACCTTTGTGTTTCCTTTAATAGATTTTTTATAGATTTTTAATAGATTTTTTTCATGCAATGGTTTTGAACTAATCTTCCCTGATTAACATCCTGCTCTCTGATACCAATTTGTTTGGCAGTACTGGCAGTTATATTTGAAACATAAAGAGCAAGATTTTTTTTTAATTACAAGTTCATTCTGATGCAGCTGCAGCACTACTGAATATTGCCTTGACATTGTCAACAGGAGGGTTCAGAGTAGAAGAAGGAATACATGGAAAATTAAGACAAAGCCACAGAAGGTAGGTAAGCACAGAATGAACATCCATGATGCAAGATGCACAAACCTGTATGTTTAATCAAACATCAGCAGAACTGAAACACTTTAACACAACCAGCACATTTTTAAAGATAATCTCTGTAATGATCTGCTTTACCTACGTATTTGTAGAGATACATCGTGGCATGAGCATTTCTTTGAAAACTGGGGATTTCTGCACTCAGCCTTTTGCTATTTTTAATCCTGTACAATGACACTCAAAATTTAACATTGTTTCACATCAACCTGGTTTCTTTCAGGCAACTTCCTAGATTTCTCAGCTTTTAAATAGTGTAAAAGCATTAGCAGACTTTTAAACAGTGTAGGTCATTTAAATTGCCCTTGGAATGGAAACAAAGTAAAATTAAAATGGTAAAGTGCAACCTCAAAGCCTTAAGATCTGACAGGAGATAACATCACTACAGATGACTACAGAGATTGTAAACCAAGCACAGAAAGCAACCTTCTGTAGAGCTACCCACAGTGTAAGGTAACATGAAGCTACATTAAACTGGCTTGCACCATCCTATATTGTCATAACCATACAATTTGGATAGAGCCCTAAATTACTAAAGCATGCTTAAAAATGAGAACGAGTTTATATGAATAATAATAAGGAAAGATGTTTTTACTATACCCATTTTGTAAGTTGTCTTTTTTTCCTGCAACATATAATGGAATCTTCCTATATAGAAGCAATGGTTTCTTGGAGCTAAAGGGCTAGCTATGAAGTTAGAAAAGCCTTCCTGTAAACCTCAATCAACTTGATTAATCATTGTGCCTTTTCTCCCTACCTGCCCAACACTGGTAAAAAGCTCCTTTATTTCTGAGGGCTGTTGTGTCAGTATTAATAAAGTAATATTAATAAAGCTAAGATTCTTAGAAAAGACAATAAATACTGAGTAAGTGTAATTTGTAACAGCAGGCATCCATATATTTTGCTGAGGTGCAAGAGGGTTATTTCTGAGAAGCAGTCTGTTATAAACCCTTACATTGGGTCCAAGTATAAAATTTAAAAATATTGTCATAAAAAGGTGAACTTACATATAGCACTTTAAACTGATTTTTTAAGTTACATTAAAAAGACTTTTCATTTAAAGAATTTTTTGCAAATAATAACACTACATAGGACTGCAAAAGACTTTGAATGAGATTATAAAAACACCTCTCAGGTAAGAAAAGCCACAGACTCAAAGATCTAAATCCTTCTATAGGGAAAACTGAATTTTTACATTGTAATTTCACTTACCTAGATAATTGATCCACCATCACTTGTTCTACTACAGCCTGTCTTCTCCTCTCTGCAGCATCATCCTCCTGCAATTAAAAAACTGACTGAAAGCAAATGAAACAGATAACACCAGACACTTCAAATAATAAACTACCTTTCAAGTTAGCATTCAGAGGTCACAATCTTACCAATGTCAAAATTAATAATTTCATTTCCCCATCTTTTTTAAATTTTATTTGCATACCAAATACACAAATAACACACTCTAATTGTCTAAGCTTCTTAGTTGTCCATAAATAGGATTCTAGTATTTCTGTTGACAGACAGCATCCTTATCTCTGTACTGCTACCAATAAGTTCTGTAAGTACAATAAAGCCTGAGGAAACTCACGCTATTCCAGCTTCATGGTTGACACAGATTCCAGCTCAGAGAATGAAACTTTACCTCCAGCAATATTTAGTCAAAAAAATTCTCTTAAGACTTAGTCTCAATACATAATTTTTTATCTGCTGCATGTCACAATAATTTTCTGCTGAGATAGGCTAATCTGAAAAACTTTTCAGGAAAGATCATCCTAAGGGGGAAAGGGATTTAACACGATCTTATTGTTATTTTTATTAGAATAAGACTGAACCATAACCTTGTGCCATTCACTGTAAAGTTCTCAGGCACTGATCATCAGTTGTGCTACAGAAAGAGAAATCAAAGCACAAGAGGACACCCCAGGGCAGCATGGAGGCCACTGACAACAAACAACCAGGCCCCAGCATCTCTATTTGTTTTACTTTCCAGACTTCTGAACTTTTTCACTGCACTTAAATTTGCCTTTCTAAAAAATAAAATAAAATGAGAAAACAGAAATTTTTACTGAGGGGACTTATGCAATGTTTTTGAAAATTCTGTAGGAATTCTGACACTGAAAAATTAAGATATTTTTCTGATTATTTCTTTCACACAATTTTGTGTGCAAACTAAATTCTAGATAGATCAAACCTTCCCTTGCCTGAAGAAGATCCAAAAGTTGGCTCCCAGACACCAAGTAACTGTAGAGGACAATCTCTAATTCCACAGATTTTATTGGTATAATTCTCAGCCCTGAAGTAAATACTGATTGGCACTAGCAAAAAAAAAAAAAAAAAAAAAAACAGTAGAGATGGGAATGCAGGAAATGAAAAGTACTGTACAAAAATAACACAGACAGTGACTGAAATTTTACATCTGGACATGCTCAGTGATGATCTGCTAAGATTTTGCCAGAGCATAATGAAGAACCATCTTCTTTGTGACCTCACTTCACATTTGCACTGTCCAGATTGGCAGGCACATCTGCTCTGGAACAATTTGCATGAGGCAAATTTTAATTGAGTTACTGAAACACATAGCCACAGTCTGGAAAAAAAAAAAAAAAAAAAAAGACAAACCAAAAAGCCCAAATAAATAATGTAACACTAGGCCAGCTGGTGTTTATTCCAAACTAATTTGAAGCCTTAAAAGATTCCTAAATTATAGGAGATGGGAAGATTTTAGCTTGCTTTAATTTTTCTTTTTTGCACCAATCAGAACAACCTGATGCTTTATTCTGAGTTACTGAATCTTTGTCCATTAATTGTCACAACAGATGTATTAAAAAGCATTATGGAAAGAAAGATGCAGCAATAACACAGAGCAACATTTTTTACAACTCAACATATTGGTTTATAGAGCCAAAACACCTAAAATGCTGAAAAGAACATGATTTCTAGAAAATAAACCTTACACTTTGAATTTCAATTGGAGGCTAGGTTATTAAAGGTAATCCTCAATGGAACATCTTCCATTCAGCTCTTAGACAAAAGCTCTACTATGAACTATTGTTTAGAAAGTAGTAACTCTTGTTCACAAAATATGATTATTCAGAGAAAAAAAACTTTTGCCAAAAAAACCTAATTTTATTATGTAGCATCTATGGGCAATCACACATTCTATAGTCTATCTTGAACAAGGGAATTTTCACCCCAAACTACAGAAAAATTAAGATAAATCCTACTTTAAAAATAGAGTTTCCAGTAATGATTACAGTAAAAGGGATTTTTAATATTGTGTATTCCTAAGCTAATTTTTAAAGTACCTTGAAATCAAATGACAACAATTGAGGCAACATATACCCAATGTAATTAATAGCTATGCAGTTACTACTTCTGATTTTTTCCGATTATTCCTAAAACTATCAGAAGCTTAAACCTGAGAGAACCTAAGACATGTTCCTAGAATGAGACAGACAGCCTGTGCACCTTTGAGTTCTAAAGAATAACAAAAAGCTTCCAAAGGTCCCTGTGACACCTGGCTCAGACACCTGCTGGCCTCCTTTCAAGGCATGCCAGCTGCAGTGTGCCTGTTATTTCGTAGTCTTCCACTGCTCCCTTTCTCAGTGAAATGGGAGCTTATTTGATTCAGCATTAAGTAGTTACTCCAATAATACTTCACAACTTTTTTTCCATTGTCTTTACCCAGTTGTATAGATCTTTCAATTTATTCTAAAAATAACAAACAGGAGGTTCTTCAAGTTCTTCATAAAAGACCTTTCTGAAAATATTTTCTTATGAACATGAATAGTGAACTCAGTAGTGTAACATCCACTTTGACAAACTAAAAATCAAATAAATGTTTGCAATGATCCAATATTCACTGCAGTATTGAGCAATCAAAATTAAAACTGCTATTTCCTTTTACAATCTAATAACATTTATCATGGCTTAGTACTCCATAAGACAGGTAGAATGTTAATTCTGCTCAACAATAATACCTTCAAAAAACACTTACAAAAGTTGTCATTACATACACAAATACTGAATCACGCAATATCAAATCTCAAGGTTCTTCATAATTGTAAATAATTCTAAGTTCAAGGCTTAGCCTTAAATGGTCAAGATTCCTATTGTTCAGTCATAAAAAAAGGAAAAAACGTGTCTATGTAAGAAATTAAATTAATTTGTTGAGTGTGTCCATATAAGAAAAGTTTTAATTCCTCTCTATGCATGCTAGTGAGGCCATACTTGTTTCCAGGCTCCCTCCTTCCCAAGACCAATATGAATGAGAGGAACCTGGAAACAATTTTACAGAGGACTGGAGAGTAACAGAGCACTGGAACAGGCCCAGAGAGGTTGTGGAGTCTCCTACTCTAGAGACACTCAAAACCTGTCTGGATGTGTGCCTGTATGATCTACTGTAGGTGATCCTGCTCTAGCATGTGGGTTGGACTATATAATCTTCAGAGGTCCTTTCCAACCCTGACCACTCTGTGACTCTGTGAGAAGCTTAGTGAGCTTGGGTTTGTTCAGTTTGCAGAAGCAGCAGCTACAAGTTATTCTCAAAACAACCTACAATCAAAGGGAAGTTACAAGGAATACAGAACCAAACTTTTTTTGACAGTGGCCAACAGTGTAACAGGAGGCAAAGGTTACACACTGTGCCTCGGGAGGCTTGGTATGGATAACAGGAAGAACTTCTTCATGAGGAGAGCAATGTATCACAGGAAGATGTTGCCTAGAGATGCTGTAGAAGCTCCATCCTTGGAGCTTGAAGACTCAGCCAAAGCCATGGCTGACCCAATCTAATAGCAGCAGTAGAGGCCATAGAGCTTATAAAGCCAGTTCTCGTCACACATTCCATTTCAGGACTTAATGAGGGAGGAGAACCTGCTTACTCTAGAAATAAGTCAGAGTAAGAGTTAATGGAATCATGGAATCCATGGATCATGGAATACATGCTTGGGTACAAACTACAGACCAGAAGAAATGTAACACCATACTCAGGTTCACTCAAGTCACTAGTTAATCTTAAAATATGTATACATTTGTATTTATTATGCATAATTTGCATTCTCATCTATATACATTACTGCATAAAATACAAGCATTGCAGATAAGATTGAAAAATGCTCACTGGTTTGCTCAGTTCAGTTCCCATTGAAACAAATGCTTAAACTCTCATGACTTCAAGGGGTGCAATTACATACTAGGATCAAATAACCAAAGACCTTACTTACCCTGAACATCTGGGAAGCCATTCTACAAGTCTAGACAGTTAACAGCATAATATCAGCAAAAATACTTACAGCTTCTGATTTCCTTATACTGTGCTGCATATAGGGCTTTCTTGTGTAATGTTGCTGCAGGAGAGCTTTCTTATCAAGAGCTGTAAGATCATCACCATGCCCATCTTGAAGCTGTGTATCCTACACAAAAATATGTTATTTTCATAAATAAAATTTAATACATTTTAGTAAAAAGAAGCAAACAGAAACCCCACCCAACAATTTTATTTTTTTTCCTTTCTTCTCTATTTTTCAAAGCATCTGCTTTCTCAAAAGTACTGTGTTCCTACAAGCTTTGTGAAATATCAGCAGCAAGTCAAAGAAGGCAGACTTTCAGTACCTCTCTGAAGAAGCCAAGAGCTCATCCTTCTCTCTTCTTCTCAAGAACAGCCAAAATAAAGCAGCACATTTGCCATTATATGCATAGCTCAACATTTACCATTGCAGAGATGCTGCTTTTTGACCAGCAAAGAAGTTAAATACAGTCTAGACAGGGGAAAGCCAAAGCACGCTGCCCAACTAAGTCAAATAGACTTGTAAACCAGTCTGACTGTACTACAGAAATATCTCCTACATGGAGGATATGAAGAAAACTGACAAAGCAGACAGCATTTATTGAAATCAGGAAGGTGGGAACATGGGAAACAAATCAAAAGTGTAGGCTTTGTTAGCTATGCTCCTCTAGGAACAGCTCCTTTTCAGAGAAAAAAAGTTATTACAAATTCTGTTAATCAAATAAAATAATAGGTACCTTGAAATCTAAAGAGATTTTGATTTATTCATTTAATCAGGTAGTGATAATGTCTAACATAGAAAATTTCTCTGCTAGACATTACATTAAAAACTTATCATAAGAATTGAAACACACAGCTTCTAGTGCTTAGGAAGTATCTTTCTGGAAACAAAAATGACAAGAATAAGCCAATCCTGCTGCTTCTCTCTCAGTATACTTTTGCCACCTATTTCTTCAGTTTCAGATTAACTTGGCTGTTCCTGTA